CGTTAACCATCTGAAAAAAATTCAAGGATATCAATTTCATGTTTTAAATTATTATTAGATTAGATTATTCAGTTTGTTTGCAAAGTTCGCGAATATGACAAGTTACTGACTATTTAGATTCTTCAGATTTTTATATTACGTGGCAACTTTCTGCAGTGAACGTTTTTCTTTCAACAGAAACCGATAATATGAAAGGTTAAATATCCAAAACAGCAAGAAATATCGATTCACGTTTCATGTTGCCAGTAGTGGAAATATTATTTTCTGATTCACAGTGAATTCTCAAAATTACATTCCCAAATGATACTATCTTCAAGTGCTTAGTTGAAGTTAATTGAGTTTTATAAATTTGAAATATCGGGTGATGGATGGTTATCCAACTTTGGTTTTACAGGGTCATAATGATACAACAGAACACTACTGTATTGTTGGTGATCTTCATTCAATGACGAATGAATTGTCGACTTCTTGTTTATCTGAGGATGGACAAAGAAAAAAACGAATCTAAAAGTTTTCACTTCGACATTCCTGAAAAAACATTTTCAAACATTCGAACAAATATTAGGGGGTGAAGGCTGAAATTTCGAGTTGATAATATTGACAAACTGAAGGAGATGACAGATTCAGAGTTCGCTTATTTGTTACGAGTATTTCAGTTCATGTGACCGTATTGACACCAGATCTCGCAACATAAGAGAATAAAAAAATAAACGGAAAAGCCAAGTTACGCACTCAATACTCAATAAGACTTTTTGTATCTTCATTCCTGAAATGAGTACAACCGAAAAACTGGAGCTGTTTCAGTGGCCTAGTTACTATCGACCATCATCAAGTAACGGGTAAAAAATTTTCCAACCAATCGCAATGCATGCATTTTCTCAATAACATTTTCAGTTGAATTTCTGTTTTTTCCAAATTCTATACAATCTACTCCTAGTATTTCTTTTATGATTAGCAAGGTTTAGATATACAGACAATATTGTTTATTTTCCATATTACTATTTATCAAAGTTTTTGGTTTGAAAAAAATATTGAAATTTTTTAAAAAATCAGTCGTTACGTAGCCCTAATTCGGTAATTATTACGCTACTGTTAGAGAAAACGGTATGTTAAATTGTCCACTCTACAGGGAAACGTAAAAATGGAGTATTTCCTCTTGATTTATTGGTGTAATTTCACTGATACAACATGAGGAAATAATTCGTTTTTGTGCTCTACTGTAAATTGCATAATTTCTATGTGCGACCTGTTCAAACTTAGGACTTCCCCTACACTACTCGCGACGTTGTATGCAGTCCGATATATGTACATGTTTACATATCGTGCACAAGGTCGGCATAAAGCAAGTCAAAATACCTCTTTACACTAATATTCTCCTCGCTGAACTTCGATCATTTTCTAGGGTATACTTTAATTCCAAAACAGTAGGCACTAAATTCTCTGACTGACGTTTTTGTGTTAATCTGTCTCTTGCAGTGGCGTACGGAAATTATACTAAACAGATGGGGGAAAATGATAATAAAATATATAGAATCACAACCTCGACAACAGCGTTTTCGTGTTGATGCTATATTATTTCTGAGAATTTAGTGCCACTATTATGGAAGTGTACTATAGTGTAGAAGACCCTTAATAGTGGATAAGTTTTTTCGCACTAATGTTATTCCAGATCTGTCAAAAGTTACTCCGAACTCTCTGTTCGATCAAAATACTTCAAGCAGAATTAGCAAATAACTTTTGAAGGGAATTACTCAATCTGAGTGCCAACAAAACACAATTAACAAGTCTTCCAACAGGGACTTCCGAAGTTTGACAATTGATAACGATCATCTTGTTGAAGCTACATCTGTCATATAAGTCATTCATTTAGTCTATTTCGTTAAATCACCATGGACGGATATAGCATTCAACAACAAGTGTAAATATTAAATTTGTTTTATCAAAATGGGTGTTCTGTTCGGGCAACGTACAGCGCGCGTTTCGCCCATTTTACGGTCGCTATATTCGTCCTACCGAGAGGACTATTCCCAATGTGGTGGACAAATTTGAGTCCACTGGTTCAGTAAATGATCGACCAACACTCGTTCATCGACAAAACGCAAGATCTGCCAAAAACATCGCCGCTGTTTGTGAGAGTGTGCAGGAGAATCCGAGGCTGTTGATTTCGCGTCGCTCACAAGAACTCGGCCTTTCGCCGACCACAACTTGGAGAATTTTGCGTCGTGACTTGGGCCTGCACCCGTACAAAATTCAACTCAGGAACTGAAAGTAAACGACCACAGACAACGACGTGTGTTCGCTGAATGGGTTCTGGAGCAATTGGCAACTGACCCTAATTCTCATCGAAAATCATCTTCAGCGATGAGGCCCATTTTTGAATGAATTGGTACGTGAGCAAACAAAATTGTCGAATTCAGGACGATATCAATCCACATGAGATCCAAGAACTTCCAATGCATCCCGAAAAAGTTACTGTTTGGTTACGGTCCATATTTCTTTAAGAACGACGCGACGTTGGCCATGCCATCACTGTCAACGGCAAACACTTTAGGTCGATGATTCCCAAGTTCTTTTGGTCTGAATTGGATGATCTGCACACCAACGACATGTGGTTTCAACAGGACGGCGCTACGTGCCACATAGCTCATGTTACATTGGATATCCTACACAAGCGATTTGAATGCATGATCGTCTCACGTGGAGGTGATGTGAACTGACCACCGAAATCGTGCGATTTGGCCCCGTTAGACTTTTTTGTGGAGTTTTCTCAAGGCGCAGGTGTATGCGAATAAGCCATAAACCACAGAGGTCCTCAAAACCAACATAACTTGTGCCATTGGTCAAATTCAGCCTTATTTATGCGCATAAGTCTATAAAGAAATAGACATATACCGGTGCTATTATTGAATAATAGCTAATTATATCCGTTTAAATGTTCAAAATGAAGATCAAATGTAATGAGGTAATTGGAAAGCTATTTAGACGAATACCATAATATTCCTTATAAAATAAACACGTTAGTTGTCTTAAGCATTTCATGTAAAGTATAACTGCCCTTTGCACCATAAAATTCACATTCATATCGCAGAAGTTATAGCATAATTGAAAATATCGGGCGTGAAAATGAATTCAAGACTAATCCCTGACATTCCATAATATTCCGGGAGGTTCTGGAATATTGTGGAGTGCTCTCGAATACTCTCGATTGTTTTGAATTGCTCTAGAATTTTCTAGACGACAAAAATTATTTTTTCTTCAAAAACACGATTTTCAGGTAAAAACAGTAAACTTTCTCATGTGTGGGGGATAGAAATTTTCTACAACATATAATCCCCTTGATCTTTTCCACAATGATCTCAGATGTTGCGGGATGTTCACGAAGGTTTCATATCATTACCGAATATTCCATCACATTCCAGAATGTTCCGAGATGTACTGTAATGTTGTGGAATGCTCTCGAACACTCTCGAATGGTCTGTACTATTCTAAAATGATCAAAAGTGCAGAACTTCCAGCCCCTACATCTTCGAACGGCACGTCTTTCAGACGGAAACTGTCTTCATGGACAAGAATGCGATACTCTGACACAAAAATAATGCAGGCATTTATATCCTACTACCCATGCGAAGCAGGATCAGATCGCTAGTAAGTACACTTTTAAAATTTAACTGAATGACCCTATCAAGGGAGCACGGAGGAATTAGAACCTACTAAGCAAAATTGTTGGTAACAAGCACATTTATATTCATTATATTAAATTTTAATTAGGAACTTTAAACTTATTTATTTTAGTATCAAATATTCACATTAAGAATCAATCACATTCGTACATTTTTCTGTGAATGAGATTTTTAAGAAATAATTCGTTCTCATTATCCATACGTCGGGAAATGAGTGCCCATTCAATGTTCATATGTAAAATGGGAGACATAATTTTTAATTTTTCCCAAGTACGAAGCTCAACATATTCAAACTATTTTTAATATAAATGAAATGATGAAATTTTGAAACAAAACAAATAAACAAATATAATATTATTAAAAAAAAAACAAAGAATATAATTTTGTAAGGATCCAAACAGAAAACACAAATATAAGAATCTGGATCATCGCTGCCAGAACACTCTTTATGCGCTCAATGTCCACAATATTCTGACGATTCATCGCAAAGTGAATTCTCATTCAGTTCTTCAATAGATGATTCTTCATCGTCATTTTTGAATACGCCCTTTGGTTTTAAGTTGTAATCTGTTTTCGTTTAACTCTATTATCGTGTTAGGAATCACACGTTATGATCTCCTACCACGTAGTTAACGGCTACATCCATCAATTTACCGCTAAAAATATTACATCCTTAAAAATCGTATCCCACTTCTTTTCCCCTTAAAATTTGGGGGAAAACTATTAGTTGGGAACCCTGTGTCAAGTATTTCGGGACAACTCTTCCGATAGTTGACGAACGCTTTCGGTGCAGCGCGCGCAAACAAGCATCGGTCCCGTTCAAATACCGTCGCTCGCATAACCCGCCCGCTTTCACTACCCCACGCTCCCCTGCTCCATAGAGCCTTTTGTAGAGACGTCCTATACTGTCGTTTCACAATCAAACGAATCATATCTTATCAAATTGCATAAGTGACAAATTTCAAACGATTTGTTCAACATTTTGCTTACACTTTATAATACTTAATTTTTTCTGAAAGTGAAATAGAGTGATAATTGACCAGCCCGTCAATTTCAACAATGAAAATTCGAAGTGTCATAGAATTGTCAATATTCATTTTATTGGATCTCTTTCAGTACTGTTATGTCACTGAAATGTTATTGTGAAACTTGTTTTTTATATGGAAAATATTCTTTCTTATTCATTGTTTCCTCATCAAATCTGTTTTAAAGCAGCATCCACAAGAGTTTTTATTTTGACTAGTGCAGTATCGTGTCACGTCAAAACACTCTTCACTGCGTTAGTTGACGGTAAGATGGTGTGTTAAAAGTGTGAGAATTATGGAGGATTTGAAAGAAACAAAAAGTGATGAAGTGTTGGGAGCGATCAGGGAATATTTTACGAACGAAGAATTGGACGACTTGCCAGTAGCATTGACAAAAAATTATCTGGAAGATTCTTTAAGTGGAGGTAAGACCAATTCAAGACGTAGGCGCACTTCCAAAATCCAGTGTTTCTGTTCAATTTTTAATGACAAATCCTGCAAAAACTACCCTAGTTTTCAGATAATTGAAGAGTAGGTGTATGAATTGAAAGGGGTATATTTTTAGTAGATATGTATGTTTGGGACGGACAGTGAATGGAATTCTGAAAAATCAAGTAACAATTTAAATATAGGGCTACTTTATGGGATACCCACGGATTTTCGCCATTTTTTCTGGGATGATACAGAACACTTTTTTATTTTTAGCGGACTCAATTAGTTTTTGAGGTATAGCTTGTCAAAGTTCATATGTCATATTTTAGCTTTTATTAAAACAATAAATGATTGCAATTCTCATATTTTTCATTCAACCCATTTTTTCTATATCATCGCACCTTTTTCTATCCCTTTTCATTCACTTATTGCCAAGTTTCTTAAAATTTATTGAAATTCCATAATTTGGCAGGTGCTTAAGTATATAACAAAAATCATTTTTTGTAAATTGCATGAAATTTCACTATTTTGATTAGAAAATTCTCTACCAACCAAAAATTATGCTTTTCAATAATCACTTGGAAACGTATAACGTTTTTGATGATATTTATGCCTAAAATGAGAACAACAAATGACATGGATGAATAGAATATTGAAAGATATTGATGTGCGCATTTGAATTGTTGGTGCCTAGTTGCGCACGTTTATCTGTCAAGCGGTTGTCTTTTTTGGTTAGCTGTTCTCTCTTTAAGTTGCAATATTTCAAGTGCCATTTGTGAAAAAAATAAAATATTACTTAATGTGATACTTACAGATTTTCGCATTTTTTCTGGGATGATACTACTACATGATGGTAGGAATTGAACACTTTTTATTTATAGTCGGACTCAATTAGTTTTTGACTCATAGCCTGTCAAAGTTTGCATCATGTCATATTTTACCTTTTTCTACAGCAATAAACGATTGCAATTCACATATTTTTTATTTACATATCTTTTTCCATATCGTAACATCTTTTTCTATTCCATTTCTAAAATACATGAGGTTTTCAATTCAGTAGGTCAGGTTGAATGTTGTTTTTTCAAAGTTAAATATTCGAAAATGGCGCGGCATTAGCTGGGTTAGTTGTTTTTCCGTTGAGTATATGCCACACGTACCTACAAAGTCGTAGGTCTGCATGAGAGAAAAGGGTGAGGTGGTATCACCTAAATGTTTTTTTATACATATATGTGATGATTTTTCCACCATTAGCAAACAACCTTACTCACAATGTAAACAACACATTTTTACTTTTGTAGTTTCCCTGATGATGACAATAGAAAGTGTCAAATGAATAAAGTTCCTAAGAGTATTCTTTTGAATGCTGCGTACCTCAATAGTTCAGTGATTTTGTTCATATTTATACGTAGGTATGTCTAATATATAAAATTCTCGTGTCACAGTGTTAGTTGCCATACTCCTCGGAAACGGCTTGACCGATTCTTATGAAATTTTATATGCAATTCGGAAAGTCTTAGAATAGGTTCAAATCAATTTTTCATACATCTAAGTGATAAGGGTGCTTCACCCCAAACATTTAAAAAAAATTTTTGGACGAAATTTTTTGTTTTTATTTTTTCATGATGTTGCATTGAAAAATACATTTGATCCTCAATCTTTATCCTTCTATCACCAACCCCCTATTTTTAGCAATTCAATGACTGTAATTCCCGCCAGACGTCTACCGGTGTCACTTCTTACTCACTAAACAGTGGGGAGTAGGGAGAGAACGAAGCCGGTCTCCTGTATTTCTCACACAATTAGCCTTCTCTCACGGTCTACACAGTTTTCGTTCACTATTATTGTTTGTCCGTCAAGCGTGGATACAGCTTGCGATGCCACCGAAGCCGTGAATTATTCAACAGAGTTCTTGAACTCATTGGACTTGCCAGGCATACCACCGTATACTTTACAACTGAAGGTTCAAATGGCAAGTTATGAGGTGAAAATATATTAATACCATGAATCCCTAATATACCTTCAGATGTGCAAATTTATTTCAAACGTGTGCAATTTGCAATTAGATGTGCATTTGGAAGGACTATTGATAAGTCCCAATGCCAAACAATGTCTGTTTGTGGCTTGGATTTGAGCACACCATGTTTTTCACATGGACAATTATACGTGGCACGCTCTCGTGTGGCAAACCATCAAGTTTGTGTGAAGTAACGAAAAGTATTGTTCACACAATAGCATTAAGGAGTTGATAATATTTGTAAGCGTTATTGTTCTGATAGAAATAATTCATGTGACAAAATAACGTTTGCCGAGTCAGCTGTATATAGCTGAAAAATAGATTGAAACCTATTCTCAGACCTAGGTACCTAATACATATAAAATTTCATAAAAATTCGAGGAGTATGGCAACTAACACTGTGACACGAGAATTTTATATATTGGATATATGTATATAGGAGAATGGATTGACGGGGTCTCTGTCAAAAATCAAAAATTTATTTTCAAAAGTACGTAACCATTTCATCAAAAAAATTCTTTCATTATTGATTCAATTCTGATTTAAACTCCTGTCGATGATTCTAGGACTTTCGAGTATCTCATTTTGTTTGTTTAAATTTATAGTATCAGTATCCACCTAAATGTCTCCACTGAATCTTCAATAAATCTTCAACATTTTCAATAGAACTCGATTATATCATAGATGTTACGTGAATGTGGAATGTACATAATATCAGAATATATCGAAGTGTCTCATAAATGTTTTCTCGTTGCAAATACTCTAAAAACTTCCTTTTGAGCTTTTCTTCCGAAATGTTTTTGTCTTGCAACTACATACATCCATTCCTCTTATTTTTCAGTTTATTTTCAATTGTTAATTTATGAAGTATTTCATGAACTTCACATTTTTTTCAATGTGTGATGTTTTTAATTCTTTGTTAAGTAATAAGAATCATTTTTAGCTTTTCTCTGCCCTGAACCCGATTTCATGAAAAATAAAAAAAAATTATTGGAAAATAATGCAGCTGACTTAGATGATGAGAAATGCGTGAAACCTACATCTGTAGCTCCCAAAAGAAAAAAGGTTAAAACTATGCTGCCTGGTAAGAGTAGTTTTAATTTACGATATATGAGAGAGGTATGTCGATATCATTATGATCTTTCTTTACAGTAAAAATAAGTCCAGAAAGAATCGCACCTAATAAAAAATCTTTCAAAGGGGAACAGCCGCCTGAAGGGAGATATATATGTAAGTAACACTGCATATGTCAAGATATATTTGTTGAACAGAACTAGTTTTGGTAAATTGTGGTTGTAAGAGAGAAGAGGGGATTTATTTTTATGAGCTAATTTCATTTCTCTAAGTCATTGAAACTTCCCTCTTTCTAGTCTGCAATGTTTGTGAGCAAAAATATTTGTATTTATGTTCGAATTGTGTGCCGTTAGCCTCTCTTGATGACAATCCCGTACCGATTGGTTTGAAGGATCGAGCTAAGAAAACGGTCCCGAAAGGAATTTTGGAAGTTCGTCCCTCCCAAATTCACGGATTTGGAGTTTTCGCTGTGAGAAATTTGAATATTGGAGTTTGGTTGGGACCATATGAGGGAAGTGTCACTACAATTGATGCGGAGACCGGATATGCCTGGAAATTGCGAAATGGTAAATTGGTAAGTGTATAATAGGTCTCGTGTATGGACAATTATATACGAAGATGTATTGCTATTTAGTTAGCCTAGATTGATTTCATAGATAAACAATATATTGCGTTAACAGAGCAACGAGAAATTATTTAATAAAAGTGACAGAGTAAAGTTCCACGTCAACTCACGTTGATTAAAACTTCTCAAGTCGTATTTAGTATAGATGGAAACTGGATACATTTCTATGATTTAGAATCAAAGCAACAATTGATAGTTCCCCAATATCTAAAAAAAATCGTCAGTTAGAAGAGTTTTTGCTTTAGTTTTTAGGGTTATCAAGGACTAACGTTAGTGATGACGACTAATAATTTTTTGGTAAAGAGTAGAACAATAGCTGGAAATTACTATTTGACGTTACTGAGAGAAAAATGTATCTAATTGAGAGGAAAGTATGATGAATCATGAACTAGGTACTTGGCTTTCAGGTTTTGTTTGATTCTATAATAGGCTAAGAATTTTTCATTACATCCTGTTTCTTTTGTTGAAGAACATATTTACCAAGCATCATTTGGAACAAATATAATGGTTTTGAAGTTGTAGTTGTTGAACTATTCAAAAGTTTTCACATTTTTCAGCTTACAAGAGACAGAATATAGATTGCGAAACCAATAACCTCATCAATCTACTGGAAGGGAAATCTTTTAAAATATTTCATTTTCAGATCGATGCGAGCAACGAGAGAAACTCAAACTATCTGAGATATGTAAACTGCGCCAGAAATGCCCAAGAGCAGAATCTTGTGGCATTTCAAAACAAAGGAAAACTGTTTTACAGAACGTGCCGCGAAATAATCAAAGGCGAGGAACTGTTGGTTTTCTATGGGCGAAGTTACGCAAAAGATTTGGGAATTGGACTACAAAAATATTTTCAGCCTGTCAAGAAATTTTTAAAAGAGTTTTATCCTTGCTCGTTTTGCTCCATTGGACTTTCAACAAAAGAATATCTGGAGTTGCATGAGAAGAGGTGTCGATTCAGCCCGCATAACTCGAAGGTTTTTGACGGATCTACATATAAATGCCAATTTTGTGAATGCTTGTTCACAGACAAATGGTTTTTTGAGAAACATCAATCAAATTGTAGCAAACAACGGTCTAACTTGAAAAGGTATGATATTGATTCTGTATTCACATTAGTTGTTTTCCAATCACGAAAGATTTGTTTTCCCAATGGAAAACATTTTCCAATGAGAAAATGAACCCATTTGGGTTGAAACATGATCGATCCCCTAGTCAAGCAACTTTTGATATATATTTATAAAAATATTTGTGAATCATTTTAGATATCTAAGAAGCCTATCCTCTGAGAGATGCGTCTAACAAGGAGAGAGCAACAATGACTATTTATTTCTCTTTGAGATAGTACAACTCTGTTTTTCAATGGCATAGAACTCAATGAATCTAAATTTTCTTATCTATTTTATTTCTGTTTGATCCCGTTATCAATTCTTTTCCACACAGACGATAATTTACTTTCCTTACAAATAATAATTCTTATATTTTTATATTCCATACTCATTGCTTATTTGTTATATGCTTTTCATTATTTTCTTTTCAACTAACTCATCCGAATATTCAAGTCCTTATATGTTCAGTAGTTTGATATTTTTAATATTTAATATTCACACATTTTCAACCTATGGAAGTCCGAATCTTCATTCACCAAAACATATTGTCAACCACATTCAAACAGATAACAAAGCACTATTGATATTTCAATTCAGAATGAGTATATAAAAACTGCTGCAATTTATATAACCTATAAAAATCACATATTGAAGTATTTTCAATATGTTTTCATTATGTTCACACAGTGAGTTGTCTTGAAGAACATATCGAGGAATATTTTTACTAGTTTTTATTTAGTTTCACCTTCCGGTATCTGTAATCAAATCTTGCAAGTTGAATTTGATCCACTTTCCACAGTATCCGATTAGGCTGAAATTTGGAATACACCTTTGGTTTTCATAAAAATGCACAATTACTTATTTTCAAACCAGTATGGATGACTTAACAAAATCACGATTCGTCATTTCTTCAGTAACCCCAATAATATGTATATCTGAATCTGAAACGGTTTAAGGAGAAAACATCAAAATGGCGGAAAACAATTACCAATTTTAAAAAGTTATAACTCGTCAAAGGACAGGGATAGTTGTTGACGCTTGAATACATGTTGTAGGGATCGACCATAGAACAAGGATGAATGTTTAACGATAAATAAATAATACATTCATACCAAAAAAATTTTGTGAAAACAACCATTTATTTACATGCTCTGAAAAGAAGAAAGTAAACTTTGAATTGAATCGAACTCATCACCTTATCACATAACAAAATTTATATGAATGATATAAAAGTTTATCGCGAAATTTACCTGTTCAGATAAACAAGAATACAATATGTAACTTTATTTTGACGTAAGTAATTCTAAAAAAATATATGTTTTTATGAAACAGGTATATTTAGTGACAAGCTTTCATATAATAAAACTATTTATTTTTACATAATTGGTGAGATTGAATCTATTGAAAACTTTTTCCCAACACCAGAACAAAATTACGGTCTCTCGACGCGCGTTTCGCTAACCAAGTTAGCGTCCTCAGGAGATTATTAAGACAAAACTTGTTAGTTAGTGTTTTTATATGCTTGTGGCCAAACTACTTCCTGTTAATTGTACCTAACTACTACCAGTGAGTAGTATCTAACCTGCTATTATTCCTATGCTAAACTAACTTTTTTTTCCTAATACCAGTAATTTGATACAGCTTGTCTAATGTGGAAAGAGCTTTCTGAATTCCGTTATAGTCCCGCCCACAAGATGTGTGTTCGTTAGATGACAGCTACAGAGAGAAAGAAAGAGAGAGAGAGAGGGAGAGAGAGAATTCTTAAGTCTCTTCCTAGATTTCACAAGTTATATGTATTTTCTCTATGTTAGTGACTATACTCCACATTTTTCTCTAATATTCATCTTTCTTTATGTAGAATTATTACGTATAGGATCTTTGTCGCTATTCATAGAACTCATTCCACACTTTTCGATTTCCAAGCTTTCGAAGGCATCCAGAGACTTGTTGTCACGTACCGGTCTCAATAATTTCAAACATTTCTCACTTATTCTGTGATTGTTCTCTGTTGTCGTTCTCTATGGAATAATGAGCCACACCAGATTTCTCCGGTGTATGAAACAGAACATGCGAAACATGTTCCTTGTAGCGAGCTAATATAACCCGTTTGGTTTGACCAACATATTTCTTGTCACAATCCTTGCAGATCATTTCGTAAATCACAGACTTTTCTTTTTCCAACGTCTTGTCTTTCGGACTGTCCAATATTTGTTGAAATGTACGGGCAAAATAGTAGTTCTCCGTTATTTTCAATTTAATACGTGAATTTTATACTCGCAAATCTGTTGTTGACACAAAATACAAAATCCTCTACCTTACTCCTATTCGCATCGAAAATGGTAAATACATCATCCACGTATTGAATCCAGGTTCGTGTAAAGTAGTCCAACTCTCCCATTGCTTCTATTTCAAATCTGCTCATGAACAGATTAGCCAAGAAAGGAGACAACGGGTTTTCCATTGCCGTATCCTCACGTACTCTTCAACAAGTGTTGAGCAGTCCGAGACGTTGAAAAAAATTGTCTGGGATTTACGAAATAAGCTGCGAGGATTGTGATAAGAAATATGTTGGTATAACCAAACGGACTTTATTAGCTCGCTACAAGAAACATCGCTGTGTCGCTCAACATGTCATAGAGAACGACCACAGAATAAGTGAGAAATGTTTGAAATTATTGAGAGCGGTATAGTCGAAGTAAACGATATTGTGAACATTTAAAGTTGGCGGCACTCTCAAAGGCCAAAAAAACGAATACATAGAAATGAACCGGCTACGAAATAGTCCACGTGGACTGCAGAATTGGCGGTTCGTATTGGATAATTTTTACTAACCGAGTTTTATGATTAGCATAAGAGTCATAAAATTAAATTTAAAGTCATGTTACGGCGACGAATAGAAATGGAGGAATGCGGGGATGGTTATCGCCGTCGTGTTCAGTTCAGGAACTGATCGCGATTTGAGTGTTGAAACTCGATATTGGTGAAGTTATAATTACTTAAAATTTTTGTTATTTGTTTAAAATGTGGCGTCCTTGGACAAGTACTAATAGTAATAACGAGTGTAATAACAACGCAGACTTTTTCCAGTGTAGTGATTCCAATAGAAATGGTGAACAATGTGAAAAAAGATACCAGTGAATAAGATTCGGATGCATTTGAATATTTGAACATAGAGAGTATGTTTGAATGTATATAAGAATCTACATTTCAGGTTTGGTTTCGAGGGAAACACACTATTACAAGCAACATCAGATTTGACCGAAATTCCTTTCTCAACTGTACGTAAAATAATAAAAGACAAACCTTAATGAACGCAAGACGTGATGTGATACAGGATTATCAAAACCTATGTTCATCTCATAAAATCATGTGTAGCGGCAAAGGTCCTATTTCGAACACCCTTTTGTTTGGTTTTATAGGTTATAATTCTAAATATAAAACAGATAAATATTAGAGAAAAAATCTAGGGGATAGTCACAAACATAGAGGAAATACTTAACAAATTGGAGGTAATAAAAAAACAGGAAGTTTTGCAGAGGGACAATAACAGGTAGTCGCTAGGTATGTCTGACCGATAGTAGTTAGGTCACAAGCATAGAAAAACACATAGAAGTAAAATTTAGTCATAATGATCTCCTGAGGACGCTAACTTGGTTAGCGAAACGCGCGTCGAGAGACCGTAATTTTGTTCTGGTGTTGAGAAAGTGTTTTCAGTAGATTCATTTTTACGGTTTCAGTACGAACTATCAAGTGGTAGGTTTGATTTAATCTATTTTTTTTTTATTTTAGACCATGTAAATAAAAGCTTGTTTTTAAAAAATGTAATTTTTTACTATCAATTTATTCATTCAACAGGAAGTTCGTTCAGTTTTAGATATCCACAGAGGGATCACAATTTATATGGTTTTGTCCAATCTGATATTCCGAGAGAATTTGGAAGTAGAATGATTTTTTCCAATAATTTTGTTTTTAATTTAGGTTGAGAGGAGATAGGTAATATCGCAATCATTTTTATTAATCGTTTGATTTTTAATTTGCAGTGAAAGGCAACTCGACGATCATACGAATATGAAATTGAAACGAAAATTTCAGTGCAAATACTGTGATTTTTCGAGCAGTAAAAAATATAATACAACCAAGCATGTTTTGACTAAACATGAAATAAATAATGCAACATGGCATCACTGCAGAGACTGTGACTTCAAAACCATCCTGAAAAGTAATCTTCGAAGACATTCGAGAATTCACGAAAAGTTTAAACTTCTCAAATGCACGGAATGTCAGAAAGGTTTCAATCATAAATTCAATTTGGATGATCATACTTTAAGACATCATCCACAAAGTTTAGAAAAAATAACTAGCAAAATTCACATCTGTGACATATGCAAATTCAAAACCGTTAAAAAATCAGAATATACTCAACACAAGTATCGACACGATGAAGAAAATGCACCAAAGTATCAGTGTTCGAAATGTACATATTCTTCCATTCAAAAAGAACATTTGAAAAAACATTTATTAAGGCATTCAGATGAAAGGCCATTCATTTGTCCTAAATGTAAAGAAGGCTTTGTTGAAAAAAAGTGTTTAGATTCACATATTCTGAACAACCACAAAGATGAAGACCAGTTGTTGAATATAATCACCCATAAAATTCATCAATGCTCCTCATGCAAATATCAAAGTGTTTTGTTGACGAGTATAAAAAAACATTTGAAAACTCATAAGTGATCATAAACCGCAATAGTTTTTTGGTTTTCATGTTTACTGCTGCATTTTATGTAAATATTCCTGAATTGTTTCGAAAATAAAAAAATTCCATATTCCATAAGCTCATTTTTTTAGTGTTTGATAAATTCCCGAAAAAGGCTCATTTTCACTTTCTTGTCTTCTAAATCCAAAATACAAAGTCGTGAATTCGGAAAAGTCTGGAATTTACGAAATTAAATGTAAGGACTGCGATGCAAAATATTATGGACAGACAAAAAATCTATTAAAGTAAGATATAAGGAACACATAGTACACTTAAAATATGGAAGACCTAAAAAATCAGCAGTCGCCCATCATATTTTGCAACAAAACCATTCCATTAAGATTAGTTAGACAAGTTAACAACAACAAGCAACTAGATGCTTATGAGAGTGTAGAAATAACTAAACATAATGATATTATGAATATCGACCAACACCTAATAGTACCTATAGTATATAGCTTATTGAAATAATCTCTTATTTATTTGAAATACCTGATTTACAAAAAAACGTTCTTTAATTAGATAATTGCAACAGTTGTATTCACATCGAGTTGACAAAATGGCATCTGTCAAATTGGATCATCAGATCTGTGATTGAATAGTAAAAACCAATACACTTGGCAACCCCGCTCTAGACACGATCATTTTTATTGGTCAACAGACACGCGGCCAATTTAAATTTTTACTTTTCGAATTGTTCTTTTTTCTGCAAATATAAAGAGATTTTGGGACCGATTACGCTTGATGAGTATAATATACCCCTAACTCGATCAGTCTATAAGCAAACCAGTATCATTTTCCATAGCATGAAACAAGCCCATTCATTATAATGCTTGTCTCAAAACTCTGTTTCAATTTTAGTCTCTATCGTTGCCTTTAGACTGTTCAATTTATACAGCATAACTTTAATCCTAAGATTTAAGACTAGTGACATGTGACATACAGTATTGCCAATCGAAATGAAATTGTAAGATTTGTATACAACTTCAACTTCCTCTCTCTAGACTATTTTTTTTGACACTGTAACTGACGGCCATAGTTAGCGGCAGAGTAGAAAGGACAGTACTGGCTGCATTCACGAGAAATCACTATTTAATTATTTTGAAAGTGACTCGTGAAAAAGCATCAAATTGATATGTCAAAAGGTTGTTCATTCTAGCATAATACGCACGTGAAATCAACAATGGATGAAGAAAGTCAACAAAACAAAAATTCTTTCATAAACATTTTTAAAGATAGTGATACAGACTGCTAGACCCCAAGATATTTTCCTAATATAAAAAACTGAATTTCAGGAAACAAATAAAATGCGTCCTAACGACCTTACGCTGGAGATGTTTTTAATGAAGCTTTCAGGAAAGGTTGAGGAAATAATCTTCAATTTGACAGTTATCTAGTAAGATGCGTTCTAACTGCTTACGGTAACATAAATTCTTGTTTATATTTTTATATTTGGGAAAAATGACCCTTTTACTGAGAGGTATATAGGCTGATGAATTCCACGGCATTATTTGAATAAAACGTCTCCTTGTAATGTATGTTGCCTTAAGCAACATAAATTTCTGATCAAAAGTTCAGAAGAGGTAACAATAATCCTTGATCCGATATTTATATAAGCTGTCGAATCCTACGTCATCTACCCACAAAAACAATATTCAAAAAATAATATTTACAAAAAATGCGTTCTAACGGCCTCACGTGAGTATTTGAAGAAATCTTTAGAAGTTGTTGAGAAAATGATCCCTTAACTGATAGTTTTTTTAGGCTGCTACAAGAATAAATGAAAAAAACGTCACCTAACAGCCCTTCGTAACGTAAGTTTTCAAACAAATTTTTGTAGGAAGTTGAAACAGCGACATCTATGGACAAAAAATCTAATTGTCGGAGTTTAGCCTATATATATGACTACTAGTTATATAGACTGCTAATCGACCGCGATCTCTTTTTAAACAATAGCCTCCGGTTAGTGTTGGGGCACCCATGCAAAAATTCAGTTAGGTAAGCCAAGATAAAACAATACATTAGATCAGAAAATAAAAGCACCCAAAGGCTGACTTTCGACCAAAGAAGGTCAGATGTCAATCTTGCTGAAGTGCCCATCAGTAAGTTGAGGACCGCTCCGGAGAAGCGGGGGTGGATGGACGAGATGGGATGTTCTGCACACAGTAACCGTGTGGGGAAGATTTCAACTCAAGGCACTCAACCCAGCTGGGGGCAAGGGGAGGATAGACTGTTGAATTTCACAGCATCTTCCTACCATGAAAAAAATATTTTGAATAAAACGATTATATGCATGGAAAACAAGGACATGAAGTACTGTATAAAGGTTCTTATGACAAGATACACATTAGTTTTTTTAGAATGAAATTAAGTCAGAGACCAGGATTGGAATATCTAAATCGGCCCTAAGACTGGTCAATTCATACAACTTGATTTCTATTCCAAAAATTGAGACCGGTGATATGTCACAAATGATAGCGTGAGCTTTTGTTGATAATAATTCGCTGCATCTTCTTTAAAAAGTGTTTTTTTTTGGTGAATCAAAATCTACACACTAGAATCATGGACATTGAAAAAGACCAGAAAAAAATATATTTCAAACATTGTCTAATCATTACTATGAATCAGGTTTTTTCGATCAATGAATGTGGAAATTTCTCAATCAGCTCAACAAATGTGACTTCTAGGCTCACTTTGTATTATGATAATGACTCTCCTATCATGAAAATCACATTTTTTTTTCAAAATAAATCATCAGCTGCAGCAACAAACTAAATCAACCCATTAACTAGCATTTGTAGGTCATTACACGAAAGAGAAAGAAGAAGTTCCTGTATTTGTGGGGCATTTGTTACGTTTATTTCACAGTTTAAGGGGATGCACCGATAATAACTCGGTGGAATCGGGTATGGGTTCTTGTAAATTGGAATTTTCAATATCCAACAAAAATGTAATGAAAAGTGCCATGTGATCTATCCCAGCATTCACCCTTTTGATGAATAAAATCACTGAATTTCTTAGATTACCTGACAACTTGAGCTATTGCAGTAATAATGAGCAAAAACTTATAAAAGAGAAAACAATATCTTTATATTACTTTTCATAGTAGAACAAAGAAACATAGGGACTCTCGAGAATCAACAATCTACACTTAATCTTAAATGGCATGAACAAACTTCTTAAAGAAACAGTGATCAACACTTTTTAATTATTTTGCACGAATTGTTCAAAAATCCAAATCTTTCGCGTGATGTAACAATCTAAAAATCATCCACTATGTGGCACATCTCCCCTCTTTCTACAAACTCGCCAATAAGAATGGATATCACGGAGCTCGAGTTGAAATCACCGGTCGTCCAAAATATTCCTAACTGGCAAAAGCCTCCACAAACTGCCACACTACGTGACTTATTTTCTTGAAAACAGGTCTCTTCCAAAACGTCTCCAGTGCTGAAACCTAATACAACTATGAGATGTTTATTACTAAAGTCCAATAACCACATCTCTCATAGACTAAGGAAAACACAACAAGTACTACACAAAATTCCATACAAATTGTTGTTAGCGGTTTAATAAGCGAGAAATCCGGTAACAACGTATCAATACAACGTCACTTTCACTAAAGTCATAGCTAAAAAAATCTCTCTTCAGTCTAATGTTTCCAATCCGTTCTTGGTGGAAGTGTTTTTTATACTGGCCCTTTTTTGCATAATTCTGGCCGACAAACTCGAATACTGAATTAGAACGAATTTAAATATAAATTCCGTGTAAATAGCCTTTGATCAATCCCTTTGAACTTCTAATAATGTGAAAGGATTGGATATAATGAACTATAATAGCATTTGTGCAAATATTATATGTAGCAAAATATGTTACAACGTTGTCTCAATCAAAGTTCTTAAAGTTGAAATTCGAAAAATTTTTCGATTATGGTTCAGGGATAAAGACTGGGGACAGGTCATATAATATTGTATAAATGGATTCATGGAAAATATAATGGCTGCCTCAGGAAATGGCGAGCGGAACAACCGCTCCTGGCCTCGCTCTTGCATGGATCTCGCGCAATGACCTCAGTAGAGAAAAAGTTGCCATTTGATACTTTATTTTATTCTGAGGTATTGATCAAGACGACAAAAAAGTCTGACTTGAAAAGTAATATTAACCATAACAATAGTCTTAAACGTAATTCTCAAACACTAAAACTGAACTGAAAATTCAATAAACTTGAATTTTGGTTCTTGTGCACTACAATCTCAACTACAGTTTTGTGTTCGCGCATAATATTTACGTTTGGCAATTCCCCCGTGACGCCCTTTCACACCAATAATTTTATTTTGTCAGCCGCTTAAATAATGGAAAAACGCTATTATCTCGGACTACTCCTCATCAATAAAGTAGTCCTGAGAATTTTATATATCATAATATCATCGGTGGCAGTTGCGTCCGAAAAGGAGTTTTTCGAGGTTGAAAATTATCAAAACATTCGATTACATAAACTCAGCTCTCAGTTCTTGTCATTCACTCAACTGAAAATGACGAAGCTCACTCATGAGATTATAGTGCTTCAATTCGAGATTTTATCATAGCATTAAGATGAGTCGCCAATGGTATTTTTAAATTCCTGTGTATGTATATATTTTGAAGCATTTAGGTACCTCAGTTTGTTCGTTATTTAAAATTTGCCGTTTTTTTTAGTTTTAGAAATCCTCTTATACTTCTTGTTCTGGGTCTTCAATCATCCACAATCTAAAAAATCAACAAAGCTCAATCAACAGAGAATCTGTAAAGTCTAGCTAATGATGGGCAAACTGAAAAGTGACTGCGAGAGACATATCAGACTCCCTTTTCATTCGAAAGAAAAGTTGGTAGCGACCTCTCGAAGACGAGTGGTGGATAACTTCTATTGTCTTTCTTACCCCTCTCAAAAAAAGTCGAGACGGAGGGGACTACTTATGTCCGTACTATATATATTTCTAAAATCTCGAAGATATTTTACCTTTTCTTGGAAGTCTTGAATTTTTACAAACTTGTCTTGCTAACGTAACAACACCGATAATGATTCCCTTCAAATCATCAAGTGAACAGAGGGTTGTCAAACTCACTATTTCAAACTTTCCTTGAACTGTGAGTGTCTTTATAGGTCACATATCCTCATTTTCCAATACATACAATAATTCCGCAAGATTATACAGTTTCTTTAATGTCCCCCCACCCCTTTTATTTTTTGAACGGGTCAACTCAAATAATTGAAATTTGGGATAATGAAATTAATGCAAATTATTTTGAAGTGAAATTGAAGTAAAAGCCCCCAGGTCATCCATCCATTCCGGAAGAACAGCAAGTGCAAATAATTGGTGAGATGAGTAAATCCTGAACAGTCTACTTATTCCGTGGCGAATGTTTGTGAGGGTCTCCTTCTACTGTGTGGAGACTTTTGAAGAAGAATAGGTATTATTCATACAAAATAAAAATGGTACACTAATTAACTGAAGATGACCCTGATCGCAGAACAGAATTCTGCGAAATCATAACAGAAACCATTGCAAGGCATCCTACCTATCTCCACAATATTTGTTTTAGTGATTCTACAGATACAGAGATGTAGTTAAATGTCAATGTATTTAGGCAATTATTAAAAGTTCCGCCATTTTGTAGTAGTTGAAGATATTGCCATTATATTCTAGGGTTGTGAATTATTCGTCAGGAGTTTCAGAATGATATGTCGCAAGACCCCTCTTTCCATTTAATTTTTTTTCCAGATGGCGCTCAGTCGCCACCTTGAAAGTTTCATCTGTCAATTTCACTTCATAGTAAAGTATTCATGCAAAAGGGGGGGGATTAAAGAAATGCACTATATATCTGAAGCTTACTGCGCATTGGGGAGAGTTCGTAGGCATAGACGGACGGTACGCTTTCTCAGAAAAAAATCTAACATTATGTGCGCGCACTAGACCGTCACGGTTGAGACAGTTACGATACGTACCCATACAATACGTACGTACGTAGGAGCCGCGCCGTACCGTTGACTCATCTGCTGTTTGAAGTACGCGCACTAATTCGGTACGGTCGTTCAGGTTTTTCACTATTTCAGTTAAGTTATTGAAATGATTGATAATGGATGCTTCTAAACTAATGTTACCGCAAAACTTCCATAAGATTCATCTGGAGTTCTTTTCTAATATTTGCCGTTTTCCTTCGAAGTTTCATATTCACAAAATTCAAAAGTTGTTCAATTTTTTTGTGGATCATCCGTACTGGAAGAACTTGCAATCATCCTCGATCAAGTAAAGAAACAGAGTGTGTAACCTAATCCATTTTTATTCATTTTGTGATTTTCCTTCTAAGTCTTGCGTACTTTCTTCTTCTTCTAACATTAGACTAAAAATACTTTCTTTTTCATTCCTTCAGGTTTTGATTTTCACAACATACTCAATGTTTCATCTACCGATGTCCGTCCCCGCGTCCCATACTGACTAAACCAGGCGGTGCATACGAGTCACCCTATAAAAAGTGCGGAACGAACATACCATCCATCCGTACCGTATCGTCCCGACCTATTAAGCGCTAAGCTCAACTATTATAGTCAAGTTAAAATAAAATTAACTGAAAGAACAATTTTCGACTTACCTACACTGTAGGTTAATGAACTGACACCTATCAGAAAACAACTAGTCCCCTGGATAATACCACGAAGGGCGTTGGATTATATCCAACAGGTGTCAGTGCAGGAATCTTCACAGAAGCAAATTCCTGCATATGTTGTTGGTGATACAACTGCTGGAATCGATTTTCAATTATAGGAACGGGCACACTTGCAGACCGGTTTCGGGTTATTTGGGATCTCCTCACTGCAAGGTAGTGGCGATCATCAATATAAAGTCGATGATATTCAATAATTGAAAATCGAAATACTTTCAGAGTATCATTCCTCTAACCAAGCTGAAGCGAACGACAAACAACAAATTTGTCATCGCTCCATCTGGTAAACAAGGTACCTACTAACCAACCGCATATCCAAAATTCGCCCAATTCGTCGTATAAGGAAATAAACCTTCACATATATTCAGTGGGCATACGTCAAGACTGGCTGTGAATCAAATTAACTGAAAGAACAATTTGTTACAAGTCAGTCTCGACTAATTTACACTATAGGTTACTTACCTACACTATAGGTAATGGACTGACACCTATTACCCTGGCTAACACCACGAAGGGTGTTGGATATGCGATTGCTTAATACCTTATTTACCAGATGGAGCGATGACAAATTTATTGTTTGTTTTTCGCTTCAGCTTGGTTAGAGGAATGACACTCTGAAATGACAACTATGGAATATCATCAACTTCAGTTTGATGATGGTCATTACCTTGCACCGACAAGATGCCAAATAGGCCGAAACCGGTCTGTAAGTGTGCCCTTTCCTATAATTCAAAATAGATTCCAGCAGTTGTATCACTAACAGCGCATGCAGGAAATACTTCTGTTAAGATTCCTGCACTGGCACCTGTTGGATATAATCCAACACCCTTCATGGTATTAACCAGGGGAATAGTTGTTTTCTGATAGGTGTCAGTCCATTAACCTACAGTGTAGGTAAGTCGAGACTGGCCTGAACAAATTTTTCTTTTAGTTGATTCGATGTACAGCCAGTCTTCAAGTATGCCCACTGAATATACAGGGCTTTTCATGATGAGCGTTAATTAGCCGTTTCTGACAAACTATTCAACAGATCAACCTGAAAATTTCACAGTATGCATAAATCAATATGACCTACACGCCTAAAATATTTCAGACGAAGCGGCGTTGTCGCTTCTACTATAAAGTAGCGGCTTCTTTGATTTTTCAAATGGAACACCCCGTATATAATATCATATTATGATTCATTATCACTTTGTCAACAAATTCATATACTATTT